GGATATTTATTTATTTTTCAGTACTGCATATTGAACCCAGTAGTTCTCCATCATTGAGCTACATCCCCATCCCCACCCCTTTCCATTTCTTATTTTAAGACAGGTCTCTCTCTCTCATGTTTATTTAGTTGTAGATGAGCACACAGTATCTTTTTATTTATTTTTATGTGGTGCTGAGGATTGAACCTAGTGCCTCACACATAGGAGGCAAGCATGTTACCACTGAGCTACAGCCTCAGCCCCAAGACAGGTCTCTTAAATTGCCCAGACTGCCCACGGATTTGTGATCCTCCAGAGTCCGTGGAACCACAAGCTTGCGTACCGCACCCTGGCTTTTTTTTTTTTTTTTTTTCATTTTTGCATGTTTAATAAATAATGAGGACAGTATTCTACAATTTATAGATGCCTGTCCATCTGCGTTTATCCAGTGAGGACTTTGGGGCGCCATTATTAGTATCCCCAGTTTATTTTTGTGGAAGCTGAGGTTCTCAGAGGTTGATCAGGTGGCTCTAGGACGCATAGCATGAACTTTAGGGAGATCGAAAGGAAAGTCCAGATCTATCAGACTCCCAGTTGAAAAGCTGAGGGGCAGCTTGGGCATCGTGTTTCCTGGATATTTCCTTTATTTAATTTTTAGTTGTAGTTGAACACAGTACTTTTATTTTATTTATTTATTTTCATGTACTGAGGATTGAACCCAGGGCCTCGTGCGTGCTAGGCAGGCGCTCTACCCCTGAGCCACAACCCCAGCCCTCCTGGATATTTTCAAACTCATCCATTCCCTTCAGCCTCACTCAGTTGACCCACTAGTCCCCAAGCCCCCAAAGACGGGAGCAGACTGGGTGTGGTGGCACATAGTTAGGAGGCTGAGGCAGGAGGATGGCGCTGGAAATACCAAGCCCAGAAGTAGGTGGCCAAGGCAAACTTCACTTTTGCCAGAAGGGGGTGCTACCCAGTGCACCTGGGTGGGTAGGCTGCCTGCTGTGTCCCTAACTGAGCAGTCCCCCTGGTCCTGATAGGAGGAACTGGGGTTTACAATCTACACAATTGCCTAATTTGAAAATTGGGGAGTACAAATGGAAGGGCTGTAGTTAAAATAACTACAAGTGGATCTTACATCCCAATTAAGGCTAAATACCATATTATGAAAATGCACCACAAAACTTCCTCACTATTTCTCACAATTGCAAGTTCAAGGCCAGTCTGAGCAACTCAGGGAGGCTCTAAACAGCTTAGACCCTTTCTCAAAATAAAAATAACACAGACTGGGAATGTACTCAGTGGTGAGGCACCCCTGGGCTGCACGCCAGGTCCAGGAAAGAGTGGAGCAGGAAGGATGGATTAAAGGAGATGCTTTGTGGAGCCTGGGTTCAGCCCCAGCCTCTCCAGGTGGTCCTCTCAGGCTAGGAAGGGCCAAAGCTTTTGTCCAGTTGGGGAAACTGAAGCCCAGGGAGCGGAGCCCGCAACAGGGTCCCACTGGCTGTGAAGACTAGGGAAACCAGGTTCCAGGCTGCTGTCCACAGGGCCCTGAGGCAGGAGCCTGCTGAGGTGGGAGGAGCAGAGCAGAGAGACATTAAAGGCAGCCCTGGAGGAGGCTCAGTCTGTGTGGCCAGTAAGACACCAAAAAAGAACAAAGGAAAAGGTGAGACTCCAGGGCTGAAGGAGGTGACAACGCTGAGACACTAGCAAGGCCAGCCTCCAGAGGCCCCTCCTGCTGCCTGGAGCTTGGCTTCCCCACAGCTGGGGCAAGGCTGTCCCTGGCTGGAAGGGCCCGCCCCGAGAGGCTGGCAGCCTCTGGAGGCCACATTCCAGCCACCCTGCCCACGCAGGCCTGGCCACAATGACACCACGGGTGGGGAATGTTTTCTACAGACAGCAGCATCCTCCCTGACCCATCCCGGCTCACCCAGGGTGCCCAGGGCTGTGACCTCAGACCCTGCCTACTCCTGGGGTCACCTTCCTGACGCCCCAGGGTGGCCGAGTCAGCAGGACCTGCTCCCCTAGACCAGGGACACTTTGTATCCCACAGTCTGGCAGAGCCAGGGACCTGGGTGGAAGACAAGATTTCCAAGTTCTTTTTTAATTTAATTTTATTTTTATTTTTCAATGTAATCGGACACAACACCTTTATTTTATTTATTTTATCTTTATATGGCGCTGAGGATCGAACCCAGGGCCTTGCATGTGCTAGGTGAGTGCTCTACCGCTGAACCCCCACCCAGCCCCAAGGTTTCCAAGTTCTTTCTCCCTTCCCGATGCCTCAGATTCCTCTTTGATTGGATGGGACACCAGACTCTCAAGGCAGCATGTCCCTGGGAGCAGGCTCCTGGGTCCCAGCAGTCCCTGCACAGAGCTCCTGGTAACATGCTCAGGAAACTCCCTCAGGGTCCACCTGTGTGTGCGGCTCCCACTGAGCTCCTCTGGCCTGCAAGGCCCACGTTGTTCCTCTCATGGTGTTTCTTTATGATCCATTGTGAGGGTGTCTGTAGAGGGCAATGGATTTCCACTTCTTGATGGTATCAAGCTTCCTTGTAAAAACTTAAGCAAGAAAAATGCTAATAACACAAAGACTAGTGGAGACAGGTGCAGTGACACAGGGAACACAGCATGGGGCCAAGTGTGGGGTGTTCTGTGACACATCAGAGGTGTCCACATGGGGAAGACAAAGACCCGGCATCGCCCGCCAAGTCACGTGTGTTTGTGAGACATGCACACCTGAGGATCAGTCCAGCCCACAGGTCAATCTGTTTTCTCAAACGGAAAACCAGGTGTTCCGGAGGACAGTAACAGGACAGGATACTGTTAAGGTCAGCCCCAAAGCCCTCTTGTGCAGTATCCTGTCATTCCTAATCTAAGGGGCAGTATCCTGTACTCATTCCTCAAACCACCAGCTCTTCTGCCTGTCCTGGAAGGCCACATTGGTGGGCTCCTGCACATCTGGCTGCTTTAACTCAGCATTGTTTGAGATTGACACCTGCTGTGTACTTTTTTTGTGTGTGTGGCTGTGTAGTGTTCCACAGTGTGAATTTATGAGGATGTCTTTCACATTCTCCTGCTGATAGAGAGCAAAAGGAATATATAGAACAGAGGAATTCAGAAGTACAGTTTGCACATATTAATTGTACTAATCTCACAACTTTTCTGTAAGCTTAAGGTCTTTCAAAAACTCAATGGAGTTGGGCACACTTATAATCCCAGCGGCCCAGGAGGCTGAGGCAGGAGTATCTTGGGTTCAAAGCCAGCCTCAGCAATGGCAAGGCACTGAGCAATTCAGTGAGATCCTGTCTCTAAATAAAATACAAAACAGGGCTGTGGATGTGGCTCAGTGGTTGAGTGTCCCTGAGTTCAATACCCAGTATTCCTCTTGGAAAGAAAGAAAGAGAGAGAGAGAGAAAAGGAAGGAAGGAAGGAAGGAAGGAAGGAAGGAACTAACTAACTTACAGGGAGCAGTGGCATGCAGTGGCTTGGGAGGCTGAGGCAAGACCCTGTCTCTGATTAAAGTATAAAAAAGAACTGGCGATGTGGGTCAGTGGTTAAGTGCCTCTGGGTTCAATCCCTGGTACCAAAACAAAACAAAGCCACACAGTATGTAACTCCATTAACAGAAAATGTCCAGGACAGGAGGGGGACTCCAGGTGGACAGGCATTGGATTCCTCTGTGGGGTGGTGGAATGTTCTTGAATCAGTGGGTATGGTTGCACAACTGCGAGTGCACTACTAAGGCTGAATCGCGCACTTCACGTGGGCGATTTGTACGGCATGCAGAATACATTCAGTCAAGCTGCTATTAAACCACGTAAGTCAGACTCCTGGGTGAAGTGGCCTCCCAGGTGAGCGCTGGTCCTCTGGAGGGGCCTGAGGACATCCTGGTGGGGGCAGGGCCCTGGGGAGGGAAGGGAAGCTTCTTTATTCAGCATGGAGTGCTGCATCCTCTGCCACCACTGGAATCACCTGCTGGTTCCTTCAGACGTCCCTTGCTGGCCATTTTTCACGGGAGCCATGTGGGGTGAGGTGACAACCCCAGGTCATGCAGGTCTGGTGTCAGGATTTGAATGTGGGGAGCAGGGCCAGGCTGCCTACCCACCCTGGGGCTGGAGACCCGGCTGGCCCCACCCACTGCGGACCCGCCCAGGGCAGGAAGAGTCGGGGGAACCCCTGAGCCGCCAGACCGGTCTCCCGTCCAGAGGGCTCCCCAGAGGGCGGCTGCTCACAGGTCTCCACCTTAGAGCTATTTTAAGGTGCCGCCTGGGGTCAGGGAGGAAAGCCAGGGGTGTTGGGAGCAGTGGGCAGACCTGGGATCTGGGGATGTGCTCCTGTGGGCTTTGGGGAGGTCGCTGCGCTGAGGGCCTGTCAAGGGCACCTCTTGGCTCTGAGCCTGTGGAGCCACTGTGCGCACCTCGGAGCCCCGGGGTGCGGGCGGGCTGATGAGGGTGGCCTGCGTGGGGCTCGGGTGTGGCCAGAAGCAGGAGCCCGCGTGGGTGAGCAGCCGCCCATTCCTGCCACCTCAGACGCGCCGCCACGACATCTGGGGCGTCATCCGGCCCTCTCGGCTGACCACGGACTGGCCCACTTGTCCCAACTCCTGGGGCTGCTGCCCACCTGCAGCCCTCCCTCCCTATCCCACAGAGAAGCCCCTGCTGCCCACGCACCTCCCTGTCTCTGCCTCTCCCTGTCGCTGTTTCTTCGTCTCTCCTTGTCTGTCTCTCTCAGTAACTGTCTCTCGGCCTCCGTCTCTCCCTGAGCTCTTTCTCCTGTCGCTCCTGTCTCTGTACCTGCCTCACACCCTGGAGATAAACGCATGCACCCGAGGCCGCGAATCGTGGGCGGGGCCTGCCCTCCCCCAGGCGCCCATTGGCTGACTGCCGGGCTGTGCCCGCCCAGAGGCAGACATTGGCCCCGCCTCTCGACTGCCATTGGCCAACGCGAGTCCCGCCCCCGTCCCCCCGCGAAGCCAGGTCGAGCCGCGGACCCCGGAGACTAGAGCCGGCGGTGAGCGGAGTGGGCCATGCGCCGCCGCCTCTGGCTTGGCCTGGCCTGGCTGCTGCTGGCGCGTGCGCCCAGTGCTGCGGGGACTCCGAGCGCCCCAAGGAGGCCGCGCAGCTACCCGCACCTGGAAGGCGACGTGCGCTGGAGGCGCCTATTCTCCTCCACCCAATTCTTCTTGCGCGTGGACCCCGGCGGCCGGGTGCTGGGCACCCGCTGGCGCCACGGCCAGGACAGTAAGTGCGCTGGGGCAGCAGGCCGGAGAGGGCGGCGGGGGCACAGTATTGACAAAGGGTGGGCTGACCAAGTCATTCCCTAGCTCGGGCCTGTTTCCTCTGCCCTAAGGTGGGTGCAACCCACTGGGTAAGAGGAAGGGTGGGGCACTCAAGGCTCCTGGCTTCCTGCAGACAAGGGTCTGAACGGTATAGTTCTGAGAGTGTGGGTCGCCAGAGTACAGGAGGGAAATGGGCAGCAGGGAGGGTTGCAGTGGTCCAGCTGGGTCAGGGGGTGGACACTCAACTCTGGGCTCCTGACACTGAAGTCAGTACCTATGTTGATGTGACTCCTGTGTCTTCCCAGACACCCCGTGTGACAGGTGAAAGAACCGAGGCACAGAGAGGGAAACGAGCTACAGAGGGTCCCACCAAACAGGGGAGGTGGAGCTGAGGCTCACAGTGACAGGAAGCCCCACTGTCTCTGCTTTTGGGCTGTGGCCTCTGGGCCCTGCTCAGCAAGTGTGAAATATGTATGGCAGGAGGAGAGGCCAGGCACAGAGGAGACTGGGCACTGGGAGACCAGGGGTCACAGCTGCCCGGTCTGGGCAGGGGGCAAGCTGGTCACTGGCACCTGAATCACCACCATCAGGAGACATAATCACCCCTGCCCTTCACAGAGGCTTTCATCTGGGGCTCCAAGGCCCTGAGGCAGCACGCGGGGAGGGCAATGACAGGGGACTGGCCAGGCAGGTCCATCCATGGTAGCATGGCCAGGCGGGGTGGCCTCAGGCTGGCGGAGAGAGCTGGCTCTGCCAGGCGATCTGGAGTGGGCACTGCTTCCCTTGAGCTTCTGCCCCATCTGGACAGGGATGGGGTGATGGAGGACAGGTGGCTCTGTGAACGGGCTCTTCTTCCTGAATTGGAGGTTACTGATGGCACCGCGGTGCACTGTGGCATGTGGGTCCCCGTCCTCTCAGCCAGAGAGTGATGTAGCCCTCACAGCGGGCCATGCGGGTCAGGAGGGGGTCTGGCGGCCTCTCTGGGAAGGTGGTGAGCCTTGGATGGTGACCAGGAGCTGACCGTGCACATGGGCTGTGCACCTGGCCCTGGAGGGCGAGTGGCGTGGCAGTGGAGGTGGTACTGCCACCTCACAGGCTTTGGCCTCCATGTCCAGAACAACAGCTGGAGGGCAGCGCCTGGAGTCGGCCCTTGGCGCCATACCCAGGCACAGTGGGAGGGTCCTCGCTGTGCCTCTACTGGACGGGGCTGCACTCATGGTGCAGGCCCTGTCCAGTGACCCACTGACAGGCTGCTGTGGTGGCCCCTCTGGGGAGTCAGTGCGGGCAGCACCTCCATCCAGGGCTGCCAGGGCAGCAGCGGGCTCCCTGGAACAGGGCAGGAAGTGCGCCTGAGGAGAGGGAGCCAGGCCTCTGTGGCTCTACGGGGCCTAGCTGCCCTTCTGGCCCTCAGCAGTTGGCCAAGGGCTGCCCGGACTCCATCGCGAGCTGCTGCGAGCACACACAGACCCAAGGAGTCCTGGGCGGCTCAAGCCGAGCCTGGTTCCCAGCCTTGTGCCTGAGCTGAAGGACATGGACAGGGATGCCCGGCTCCTGAGCAGCCCGCCTGGGCAGGCGCACAGTAGGGGTGCAGATGAGTGGAGGGTGAGGCAGGGCATACGTGGAGAGATGGTTAGTGGGAGTGGAAGCTGGTGGTGGCCCTGACCAGCCCCTCTGCGCAGGTGTTGTGGAGATCCGCTCTGTCCACGTGGGCACCGTGGCCATCAAGGCTGTGCATTCAGGCTTCTACGTGGCTATGAGCCGTCAGGGCCACCTCTATGGGTCGGTGAGTACCGGGTGGTGGTGGGCAGGGGTGGACAGAGGGCAGCGTCAGCTGGCCTCACGCACCGCCCTCAGCGGGTCTGCCGTGTAGACTGCAGGTTCCTGGAGCGCATCGAGGAGAACGGCTACAACACCTACGCCTCACTCCGCTGGCGCTACAGGGGCCGGCCCATGTTCCTGGCACTGGACGGACGGGGGGCTCCCCGGCAAGGCATGCGCACACGGCGGCATCACCTGTCCACCCACTTCCTGCCCGTCCTGGTCTCCTGAAGCCCTTTGAGGTCTCAAGAGCCTGCTGACAGACCTGGAGGCTGGGGCAGGAAGGAGGGCCCCAAGGACACCTGAGACAGGTGGCAGGGGCCAGGCTGCAGGGCGTTGGGCTCACTCATCCTGAGCTCTAACTGGGTGCCTACTGGGGGGCCTCACTGGGTCCCCCAGGCTGGGGGAGGCAGATGGCAAGCTGTGTCCACGGCCCAGCACGAGGAGGAGCACGTCCAGGATGAAGGCACGCCCAGGCCGGGCTGAGGAGGAGTGCCCTGGATGGGAGCTGGCAAGGGCAAAGGCTGAGGGGTGCACGGGGCGGCTTGTGGGCAGCAAGGAGGGGCAGGCCTGCAGGGCCCAGCGCAGTGTGCGTGGGACATTTGCACCGCCACCAGGCAGCCATGCAGCCAGAACAGCAGCCCAGACGTCCAGGCCTCACCCCCAAGGCCTGTGGACATGGCACTTCCCAGGGCAAGGGGCTCTGGTGGGGATCAGGGGAAGAGACCCCTGAGTGGGGCCACCCAGGGGTCCTCCTGAGAAGAGGCAGGAGGGCCAAAGTCAGAGGCCCCGGAAGATGCTGGAAGATGCTGCGCGGCTGGCTCTGGGCTGGAGGAGGGGGATGGGGACTGTCCCTGGGCCTCAGGAGGATCTAGTCCTGCCTCGCCTGGGTTTAGCCAGGGCAGCCCACATTGGCTGCCACCCAGAACTGTTTGACAATAAACGTCTCAGCCTATCAGATGCTGTCGTGTGTCACAGCAGCAGGACACACACACACACACACAGATGCCATCATCCCAGCCTCCTGCCTCTTGGGATGGGTAGGGGCTGCCAAGGGGCTTTGGATCTTCGTCCTCCGCAGATGGACCCTTGGGACAGCACACCCAGCAGCCAGTCCTCACTGTATTCCTCCTGGCTGGGCATGGGACCGGAACTGCCCACACAGGTGGCAGCTTCGGCCACCCGAGGCGACAGCATTCAGAAGCTAAGCCTCGGGTCCCCACAGGCTGCGCAACTCAAAGCTCCCATTTCTGTCAGGAGCGAGCCCAGCTGTGGAGCTGCCCCCCACCAGGGCAGGGGGCAGATGGTTGCCTGGGTCAGCACCTGCTGCCAGCACAGGGTGCTCCAGGACCAGAGCTCCGTCTCACCCGCGAGGCCCCAGTGCCTCCCAGGTAGGGGTTGACTGTGGGCTGCTTCTGCCAGCCTCCCTTCTCTGCTCTGCCACGGCATCCACCAGGTCAGGCCACCGTGGTGTCCTTTCAGACACAGAAGCCCAGAAAGCACCCAGCAGGCATGGGGCAGGCGACGCCCTCGACTGTCCACGCTCCCTGGTACTGGGGCCTCGGGGTCATGGGACTCCAGGGCACCCCACCACCTGGGCAGCAGAGGCTGCTATACAGGCCATACTGGCTGCCCAGTGCCACGGATGGTCCTGAGGCCGCACACCTGAGGGCCGAGAACAGAGGCCCTGCCTGACTTCCTGGAGCACTGGTTCCAGTTACACAGTTCTGCCACCAAGTGCCACTTGGCCTTCCTGGAACACTCCACTCGATGTCCACGGCCTGCTCTGTGGTCAGGAGGCGTGCAGCCCCTGGGCTCCCGGGGGAGGCAGGGCCCCACAGGACGGCACCCTCGCCCTGCCAGCCGCTCAGGCCCTCTGGACACACTGGCGCGGAAGGAAAACGCCGAGCCACCGGCTCCTCTTTCAAGTAAGTGTATTTTAAATAGCTTTCAAGATACACATATTTTTTCCCTTTAAAAAACGTCTGTTAGAGCAGTTTTGTTCCTGGTTCTGCTGGTCACCCTTGTGGTCCCGAGGCCGGCGCTCGCTGTGCGGTCCGAGGCCCCGTGGCCCGTCCAGGTGGCACACGCGGCTCTGGCGGAGCAGCTGCACAGATCATGCGTGGCCGCGCGAGAGCTAAAACGTCCATTTATTTCAAAGCAGTAATAATTTAAAATCATAAAAACCTTTCCACCGTTGAACGTTTGGAGGGTGAGGTTAGAGATGGGACAGAAGGCTGGTGCCCTGCAGGGGACATGTGGCCCACACCCCTCCGTGCAGGGAGCAGCTGGGCACGGATGTCCCTCCAGGGCTGCGTGGCTGGGGCTGGCTGAGCTCTGGTCCCCTGGAGAGCCGGGTCCCCGAGCCTGGCGCGCAGCCTGGGGCCTGCCGGAGCTGCGCAGCGGCCTGGGAGCTGGAGCTGGCGCCGGCTCAGGAGTTGCTCGTGGCGTTCTCGTTGCTGGGCGAGGAGGAGGAGGAGGACGAGGAGGAGGACGAGAAGCTCACCCCAGTCAGGCCCGGGGGGTTGGTGGCCGTGTTCTGTCCGGTGAGGCTCTTGCGGCAGACAGGGCAGCTGTCGTGCTTTGTGGGGACAGAGGTGAGGCGGGGAGTTAGAGGCTGGCGCCCCCGGAGCGGGCGCGGGCAGCGGGTGGGCTCACCTGCTCCAGCCAGGGCACGATGCAGCCGTTGTGGAACAGGTGGTTGCAGGGCAGCTGCCGCACACTCTCGCCCAGCGCGTAGTCGTCCTTGCACACGGGGCACTCAAGCCCAGAGCCTGTGGGACAGGCAGGGCCAGGTGGGTCCAGGCCCCCGTGGGCCCCACCCCAGCAGGAGCACCTAGGCCCTGGGCACCAAGGCCAAGAAGAGCATACCTACGTGCTCCTCGGTGACGGGGACGGTGGGCAGGGCCTGGATCTTCTCCTTGTCTGCGGGAGGGGGGCCCGTGTTTTCAAACTGGTTGAGGAGCTGAAAGACCAGAGGGGAGTGCCAGGAGCTCCAAGGCAAGGCACCCCAGGGAGCAGGCACCCCCGCCCATGGGGCAAGGCTGGAGGACCTACAAGAGCATCAGGGCGTGGTCCTGGGCTGGCTGGGCCCCAGGTTCTGCCAGGGAGGTGGCTGGGCCCACCGCTGCCTCGACTACCTACTGGCTGCTCAGGGTCCCAGTCCACTCAGAGTATGGGCGGTGCCCAGGCAAGAAAGAAAGAGCGCGGGGGCCACCAGGGCAGATCTAGCACCTTGGTCCATGGGATGTCAGAGGTAAAGGCCCCAAGGTCATAACAGGCAAGAGGCGAGATGCAGGGACCTCCAGGGTGGTCTCTGCAAGAGGAGACCATGCCCTGCCTTCTCTGTCTGGATGAACCCCCAAAATGCTGGGTGTAGTCACCCTGTACCTGCGTGATGATGGCATCCAGGCCGTTGGCCCCCCAGGCGTAGTCCATTGGGTTGGAGTGCAGGACGCCCCTGGGGGCGAGAGGCCAGGTCAGGAGGCCAGGGGTGCCAGGGGTGGGCGGGTGTGCCCCCCACCCCGTGCTACTCACCAGGGGCCCAGGCCCAAGTTGGGGATGGTGGCCGGAGTGATGATGCCGTTGACCAACTGCTGGATGATCCTGGAAGAGAGGGGGCAGGTCACACACCCATGGGAGTCGGGCCTGTGCCAGCACCCAGAGATGACCCATCAGGGCTCAGGTGGAGAAAAAAACAAGGAAAAGAACCCAGCACAGCCTCCTGCTGAGGTCCAGGGGAGCGAGCCGTTTCATGCGCATTTCACGGTGGCCTGGGCAGCCCAGACGTGCTGTGACACAACTCCTCAAGCCGGGGCCAGCTGCAGCCCCCACCTGGCACGGTCCTGCCTCCAAAGTGCAGCGTGGGGCTTCAACTCCCCTGGGATGAGGGGAGCCAGGCTTCTGGGAGGAGGGGCTGTCAGAAGGGCCAGGCCAGCCCTGCTCCTGAAACCGTGGACCCCCCGGGCTGCAAGGCCAGGCCTTCTTTCACAGGAGCCTGGCAAGAAGCCCAGGCTTCAGCAGAACACGTGCCTGCGTCCAAGGGCCTGAACAACCCGTCTCGCTGAGCGGGGCCCTCTCTGGCCACCCCCAGGCCCCCTCACCCTTCCAGCGTGGGGACGCCTTCGTGCCGGCCGGTGGCCCGCCTGGCGGTGAGGCGGGCTCGGGGCTGCCGGGCGCCATACCGGTGCCGGGACTGGTGTTCTCTCTCCCTCCGGCTCTCAGGGTCCCTGCTGTCATCGGCCTGTGCCCCAGGAGGGAACGTGGGGATCTCAAAGCTGTCGTCAAAGATGCCGAAAGCAAACTGTCCGTAGCCCTGGGGCAGTGTGAACAGGTGCTGGTCCACGTTCTGGAGAGGGGAGCAGGACCTGAGCCTGCGTGGTCTGCTCAGGGCCCCATACACAGAGGCAAGGAGCCCTGGGACAGACAGGCAGATGAAAGGCAGGTACGACAGTGGGGCTGTCAAACCCACCTGGGCGGCCCAAGGACCCTGGCCACAGCCTCCAGGCCATCACCTTTCCATGTCCTCGAGGAGGAGGACAGGCCCATGCCCCTGCACCCCGCTCACTGCCCATACCCAGCCCTTGTGGGGCCTGTCCCCGGGGGGCACACACCTCCTGCAGGTGGGCCCATCCCAGGCATAGGGGCTCCATGAGCCAGGGAGGGTCCAGCCTGCTTAGAACTCACCCCAGCAGGCAGGGCACAGGCAGACAGTGACATGTGGACACCAGACTAAGCAGTTGAGGGATGCAAGAGGCAGGGGACCAGGAGCCAAGCTGGGTGGGCCAATGGCAGAATGACAATAGCTGGAATTCCTACTCACCTCAAAGGGCTGCCGGCTCTGGTCAGCGGGGGCCGTGGAGGGAGCGGAACCGTTTTCTGTATTCCTGGGGAGAGAAGGTGCTTGTCGGCAGAAGCCAGCAGCCCTTGCCGTCCCTTAGGGCACACAGCCATCCTCCACGTCAGGAAAGAGGAACGCAGCACCAGAAGCACCTGGCACCTTCCGTCTCAGGACTCCACACGTGCTCAAGTGACAACAGCGCCCCAACCACCGTCAGCAGCTCACATCAGCTCCAGCGTCAATCCGCCTTCTGTCCCCACCACAGCGCATGTGGGTGTCTGTGTGGGTGCCATCCCCACGAGGTGAGGGAGGCGGTGAGGTGGGCACACATACACTGACCAAGTGCCACGAGGCTATCGTCCCTCTGCCTTGAGGCGTGTGTCCTGAAAGTCAGGACCCCAGGCCTGGCAGGTGTGCGACCCTCACCACTCTCCCAGCGCACCACCACGAGCTGTGCTATGCTACCTGGTCTCTTCTGGAAGCTCCTCGATAAAACCAGACTCACACCTGGGGCAGATGTAATCCTGCAGGAGAGAGGAGCAAGAGTCACCATGAACGCCCTCCATCAGCAAAACCCCCCTTTGCTAGAGCAAGCGCAGGCTGCAGCCCTCAAGAGCCACTCCTGGCCTGTGGGTCATGAAGGGTCGGGGGATAAGGGAGGCCCGGGGACGTGTGTTCCCACTGGCCACATAGCTGCTGCAGCGAGAGACTCCCCCTATGGCCTCAATGACCCAAGCCACCTGTTGGATGCTCCTGGAGGCCAGGCCCAGGTTTTTCTGGTGGTCTCCTGTCCCGGAGTAACCCAGACTCGGCAGGCGTCCCAATGACAGAGGTCCTGGGGCCTCTTGGGAGGGGCACACTCAGACACAGGAGCTACAGACCCATAGTGGCACCCCAGCACTGGCAGCCAGGTAGGCAGCCTGCTACGCCGGGGGCATAGATGATGCTGTCATGTCCTGGAAGGGAAGCCAAGGACCGACTCTGGGGATGGCAGGCTCCTGAGTCCCAAGAGCAGGTGACAAACCCCAGCCACACTCAGATCAGGCAGGCCCACGTCAGCTAAGGTGTCCTGCAGTTCAAACAGGGAGACAAGTCTGTTGGCCTGGTGGCTCCCACACCTCCCAGACTTGGCCTGCCCCAGAGCTCTCTCAGGTCACTGCAGCCCACACCGTAGCCCTGGAAATCAGGCAACCCCCTCTTCTCGGCCAAGGATCACTTGTCACTGGGGCCATGCAGCCTGGGGGCATATGTCCCATAGGGTCCCCAGGCCACGGTGGCTGTAAACAGTGCCTGCCACACTTTCCTCTCAGACCCAAAGCCACCTCTGCAGGCTTGACCCAAGCTCCTCCCCATGACCTGTATCACTAGCTCTAGCCAAGACTGGCCAGCTGCCCCCTGTCCAGAGCAGCCAAGGTCCCAGCCAGAGGCAGCTTGTGCCCAGTTCTGACACCCTCCTGGCCCTGCACTGTCCATTCTGCCACAACTGCCTCCCCCTAAGTGTCCATCTGGACACCATTCTGCAGAGGCCACCCTCACCAGCCCTGCTGCTTGGCCACTTCTGTTCCTCACAAGCCTCTGTCAGGATGACGGACCCTGGCTGTGTGCCCACTTACTCCTCCCCTGGAGGTGGGGAGAGGGATAGGCACCAACCTGCCCAGTGAAGATATGTACAACCATGCATCCCGTGCCACATCTCTTCATTCAGGTAATGCTTGTACAACACACACACAGAGAGCCCTCAGCCAGGCACCACAGGGAAGCTGGGGAAACTGAGCCAAGAGATGAGAGGGCCACAGTGCTGAATGCCTTTATGGGTCTCTGAGGAAGCCCACCAGTCTGTTTCTCTTTTTATGTATTATTATTATTATTTTTTAAGCTGTTGATGGGCCTGTTTTATTTATATGTAGTGCTGAGAATCGAATCCAGTGCCTCACGCATGCCAGGCAAGCGCTCTACCACTGAGTTATAACCCCAGCCCACACCACTACTCTTCATGCAGGATAATAATGCAGACTTCTCAGCTGAGCATGGTGTGCAGAAGCATGGGGAGATGTGGACGCCCAACTCTCTCCATAGCCCCAGGGGTGCATGTGACACTCCTCATGTCCTTTTCTTCTTAGACCTAGCAGCTGCCACCAAGATTCGCATCTGCATCGTGTCCGCCTCACAGCATGTGTGAACCCTGCACCAAGGACACGAGGCTCCTGGTATGGGCTGGAAGAACACCAGGAGAGCAAAGCTGCTGCTCAGCACAGATCTGCTGTGAGGGCTTTTGCACACCTGCAACTGCACTCAGGGCACCTGGTGGGATGGTGTCCACTGCACACAGGCCCCACAGGCACTGAAGCCCAGTGGCACCTAACTGCACCTTCCAGGATTCTCTGGCTGATCTACCACCGACAGGCACCTTGCATGTGCCACTAGACAGAAGGCTCAGGGTGTGGAGGCCCTGGGACTGCAGGGGTGGCTCTGCCCAGGACCCCAGGTCAAGTTGCCCTCCTGGGCACAAACAGAAGAGTGCTGATGTGGGCAGAAACCTGAAAGGAAAAATTCAGCCCACAGCTGTCCTACCCACCCCAGCCATGACTCCCTGGGCATCCCCAACGCTCCACCCACCACCAGGTGCTGGGCTTACAGAATACTGCTGGGAGGCAGTTTCCACCTACCCTCCCTGGGGCCTTAACTTCCGCAGAACCACCACAGGACACTGGACAGACACTGTGAAGAGGAACAGGAATCTCTACCACAGCTTACAGCACACAGCAGGGCACACTAAATAGGCCAATGGATGTTGGGCAGAAACAGATGCACACCTGGGGTGGGGAGAGAAGGGGAGAGAGGCTCCCAGAGACTTCCAGAGTCCAAGAAGGGCCGTCAGTGACAATAACAGTGCCCCCACTGCCCCTGGCTCACCCCTGGCCTTCCTTGTCCACCCATCCATTTCAGAGGTTGCATCACCCACTAGTTTACCCCTCTAGGAGGCAGCAGGCTTGTCAATGGGGTTGGGGAATGCCAGGTGGTCAGGCCTACAGCCACTTCCCCTCCCCAGGTGGCACAAAGAGATCCAAAGACTCCCGCTAAACAAAGTCCCTCCAACTATACCTGTCTGCCCTGGCTCGGGCCACAGGGTGCTGTGAGGGAGGGAGGCCAGAGAGGCCAGCACTGGGCAGGTGCCTGCCCACAGGGTGCTCCACATCCATGCCCTGTGTGTCATCCTGCCTGTACCAAATCTGAGAGGAGTCTGGGCTGTGTACCTGCCCTGGAGGCCTCCGGCTAGCCCGGCTGGTTCCTGCTCCCACCTGCCTCTCCACCTAAGCTGAGCAGTCCTGACGCCCAGATGCTCCCTGCACTGCTTCTCAGTCTCAGCCGACAAGAGCACCCGCCCACCTGTCTGCACAGTCCCCTCCTGAGGATACCCTCACAGGCAAACCACCAGGGAGACAGGCCAGGTACTGGCCACCTGCATACATGCTCCTTGCCCCCTAACTCCAATTCACTGAACAGGCCAGGATGTTGAGAAGTGGTGTAGCTGTTGGGGCCTCAGCTTGACTCAGAGAAGCCCCCTAGAGCAGGCTCAAGGGCCACAGCAGCTCAGGGGCTTGAGATGGTAACCTTATGACAGCAGCCAATCCCTGTCATCAGGAAGTAGACATTTCCTAACAACCAGCCAAGAGTCTGAGCCGCAGCAGACACCTCATAACTGACTACAACATGGACAAGCTCCTCTTTGGGGTGTCAGGGACAGGCTGGGACTTTCCCAGGTTGACAGACCCCTCCCAGGGCACCAGGTATGCCAGTCCCAGTATACAGCAGTTCTGCCACAGCCAGCTGGCCACTGGTTGAGTCCCACCACAGCCCACAGGCCGGCATCCTCAAGACCAGTCACCACACCCTACCCCACACCCCTCCCCACTGTTACTGGTTCTTATGAAATTTTGCCAAGGTCTGATTTAGTGTTTGTCAGGCCCTGGGCCAGTCTATAAACCCTGTAAGGTGAAAGACCACATTGGACTGCTGTGACTAGAGGAATGTCCTTACCAGGTCTGGTGACAGTCAGAGGAGGTCAGGGTCCTCCTTGCCCAAAGCCACAGTCAGGAAGCAGCCACACCATGTGGGCCCCAGGAAGCCCAGGAAGGCAGACCAAGAATACAGCTGGGTCAGGTCAGCTCCACACACTGCACCCACCCTGCCCCGGGCTCCATCCCCCAAGACGGGATCTGTCCTGGGTCTCACAGCAGCTACAAGGGCAGCACTGTCACTAAGCCAGGCCTGCACACTACCAAGCCACCAGTCCTGCCTGCCACAAATAGAAAGGCAGGGACAATGAAAGCCAGAGCTGGAACAAGACTCCAGGAAGCTGGGATGGAAGAGAGGCAACTCTCAGCTCGGGTCTGTGCCCTGCCCAGACTTTACCTCCCTCTCCTTCTAGGGAGAGGATAAGCCCCTGGCTCCAGAAGCCGCTGCCTCTCTCCCCTCCAGGCCCCTCCTCCAGGGAACTCCGAAGGCCCATTGGTCAGGGAGTACCACCCCCAGGAGGTGGGTGACAAGCAGGGTGTAGCTATGGCAGCTCCACAGCCCTCGGCACCCAAGCCCCTTCCCCTCAGAGACCCGTCAACCCCCTGCACCTCCCTCTACCCGGCTCCCTCTGAGTCGCTGGAGAGTGGGTAGGGCGCAAAGAAGAGGGCCACAGGCCACTTCTCTGGGAGCCACCGCAGGCTTCAGTTTTCCCACCCGAAACGCAGAATGGCCACTTTCCCCACCAGCCTGGGCAGGGAGAGTGCGGGCCGAGGCAGGAACGGCCTGCCCACCTACTGACTCCAAGCCCGGGGGACGCACTGGTCTGAAGGGGCAGGAAGCGCCCCGGGCGCACCCAGGCCGGGCCCCTGGGGCGAGGGGGCGGCGCTCTCGGGGACCCTGGGCGCCCCGGCCCGAGGCTGACCTCGCCTCAAACACCTGCCATCGGCAGCTGCGGGACCCGGACGGCGCCTGGTCCCAGTGGCCGGGCCCACGCGGCCAGCGCAGCGAGGCGCGCCCCCGCAGCCCGGCCACGCGCTCGGCGAACACCCCCCGGCGCCGCTCCGGGCCCCGCTCCCCACGGCGGCCGCCCAGGGCCCGCATCCTCCGGAGCCGGGGCCAGGCGCCCCCGCCTGC